ACACAGCTAGCAATGTGGGACAAGCATGATACTTGAATCTTAGTCTCCCCAACTCAAAGGTTGCTTCTAATCCAGGCTGCATTAAAAAAAAAAACCTTTAATATTTTTGTTTATTTTGTTAGATATTTCCCCAATTACATGTAAAAAAATTAACATTTTTTTAAAATTTGGATTTCCAACTTCTCTCCTTCTTTCCCAACCCTATGCTCTCTTTGAGAAGGAATAGATAGTGATTATACATGTGAAGTCATGCAAAACATATTTCCATATTAGCCATGTTGCAAGAGTAAACACAAACAAAATAAAACAATAAAAACAAAGAAAGTAAAAGAAAAATATGCTTCATTTTGCAATGAGTGTTCCTCAATTTTCTCTCTGGAAGTGGATAGCATCTTTCATCATAAAGTCCTTCAGATCTGGCTTGGATCATTGTCCTGGTGCGAGTAGCTAAGTCTTTCAGTTGATTGTCCTCACAATATTGCTCTTACTATGTATAACGTTCTCCTAGTGCTGCTCATTTTACTTTACATGGGTTCGCATAAAACTTCTCAGGTTTTCCTGAACTGCTCTGCTCATCATTTCTTTTAGCATAATAGTATTCCATCACAATCATATACCACAACTTGTTCAGCCATTCACTGACTGATGGCATCCTTTCAATTTCCAATTCTTTGCCACCACAAAAAGAGATGCTATATATATTTTTTGCACAAATGGGTCCTTTTGCCTTTTCTTTGATCTCTTTGGAATTCAAACCTAGTAGTGATATCACTGGGTCAAAGGGTATATATACACAGTTTTATAACCTTTTGGGCATAATTCCAAATTGTTCTCCAGAATGGTTGGATCAGTTTACAACTCCAATAACAGTGCATTAGTGTCCTAATATTCCCACTTTCTCTCCAGCATTTGTCATTTTCCTTTTCTGTCATGTTAGCTAATCTGATAGGTATAAGGTAAGTATATCTCAGAATTATTTTAATTTGCATTTCTCTAATCAATAGTGATATAGAGCATTTTTCATGTGACTATAGATAGCTTTGATTTCTTCTTCTGAAAACTACCCATTCATATCCTTTGGCCATTTACCAACTAGAGAATGGCTCTCATTTTAATAAATTCTGCTCAGTTTCCTATATATTTCAGAAATGAAGCCTTTATCAGAGAAACTGCTGTGAAGTTTTTTTTCTCCAATTTCCTGTCTTCCTTCTAATTTAGTCTACATTAGTTTTGTTTGTCCCAAATCTTTTTAATTTCGTGTAACGAAAATTATCTATTTTACTTCCCATAATCCTATCTCTTTTTTTGGTCATAAACTCTTCCTTTATCCATAGATATGACAGGTACATTTTTCCATGCTCCTCTAATTTACTTATATCACCCATTATGTTCAAATCATTTATCTATTTTTACCTTATCTTAGTATATGGTGTGAGATGTTGGTCTATGCCTAGTTTCTGCCAAACTGTTCATCAGTTTTTCTGGCAATTTTTGTCAAATGTTGAGTTCTTATCCAAAAAGTTGGGATTTTTAGGTTTATCAAATACCACTACTGCGTATTGTGTACCCAATCTATTCTACTGTTCCAACATTCTGTTTCTTAGCCAGTACCAAGTTTGAAGACTATTGTTGTTAAGTCGTTTCTGTTATGTTCAATGCTTTGTGACCCCATTTGGGGTTTTCTCGGCAAAGATACTGGAGTAGTTTGCCATTTCCTTCTCCAGATGATTTTTTTTTTTTTGCTTTTTTGGTGAGGCAATCAGGATTAAGTGATTTGCCCAGAGTCACACAGCTAGTAAGCTCAGGCCAGATTTGAACTCAGTTCCTTCTGACTCCAAGGCCAGAGCTCTATCCACTGTGCCACCTAGCTGCCTCCAGATGATTTTACAGAAGAGGAAACTGAGGTAAACATGGTTCAGTGACTTTCCCAGGGTCACATAACCAGTAAATGTCTGAGGTCAGATTTGAGTCAGGAAGACTCCAGGCCTGAAATATCACATGTCTCTATACACACGTGTATATACAAATGTGTATATGTACATATATACATGCATGTATATATATATATATACACACATGTATGACTTTGCCATTGTACATTGAATGATTATGTATCTGGGGAGAAATAAATGTCTATGAGCGTAGACAGTAGTTACTTAACAGAAGAACTAGAATCACCATACAAAATGTTATGTGAATGAATGCATGGGAAAAACTTTTATTACAGCTTACTATGTGCTAAGCACTGGGCTTCTCCCAAAATACAAAGACAAGCAAAAAGACAGTCCTTGCCCTCAAGAAGCTTATTTTCTAATAGGAGAAGGAAATATATACAGAGGAATAGTGTCAAGAGAGAAGTGTTCTCATTCAGAGAAAGAACTATGGAGTCTGAACGCAGATCAAAGCATATTATTTTCTCCTTTTTTTCTTTTTAATGGTTTTTCCCTTTGGTTCTGATTCTTCTTTACAACATGACTAACATGGAAGTATGTTTAATATGGTTGTGCATGTATAACCTATATCAGATTGCATGCCGTCTTGGGAAGGGGGGTTGGAGAGGAGCAAGGAGGTGAGGGAAGGGAGAAAATTTAGGACTCAAAATCTTATAAAGGGTAATGTTGAAAACCAAAAATTAGTTAATTAATATCTTTTTTTAAAAAGAGAGGAGTGTTTTGAATAGAGAAGTTAGAGAGAATGGTGATTAGAACCACAGGGTAAATGATTGACATGTGGGGGTTTACAGAAATATTTCACAAAGTCATAATCTCAGAGTTAGGAAGGAGCTCAGCGATCATCTTCTAAGTCAAGCAGTACCTTAAAAAGACTTCCCTTTACAACATTCCTGAAAAGTGGTCACATAGCCTCTTTTCTAAGACCTCCAACGAAGAGAAACCCATCACTAATGTTTATTAATGACATGCCTGTTCACTAGTCCCGGGGAGGACAAAGGGTCTATTTTATCTTTCTATCTTTTCTCTAGGGAATATGCATAGAATGATTTGTGCAAATGCATAGAGCCAGAGGACAACATATTGAGTTGTGGGAGTTCCCTGTTAAACTGGAATGGTACAGAGGGTTTGAAAGGGAATAATGTGAAACACAGCCAGAAGGGTAGCCTGGAGCTAGACTGGGGCAGGGGATGGGTGGTGGAGGTGGCAGCTTTAAATGGACGGCTAAGGAATTTGTAATTTTATTCTATAGACTGTAGCAAGCCACGGATGATTTTTGAGAAGAGTAGCATCATCAAACCTCTTCCTCTTCTATGTTTTCCCGCAAATCACATTTTTAGAACCTCCCTCCAAGTCTGCAGATTCATAGTTGAGTTCATGGAACTGGAGATCTAGAGCTGGCGAGGGCCTCAGATTGAGGCCCAGGGAGGTTAAGTCATTTGCCCAAGGTCACTCAGGTAATAGGTGCCTGAAGCAGGATTTTAACCTGGTTCTTCCTAAATCCATAGCCATTGCTCTTGTCTGTTGTATTTCTCTCCCTCTCTGCTGCCTGTCATAGCAGGTACATAGGCTGATATGCTCTAATTAGCCTCCCCTCACCCTTCACCCTCAGCCAGGCCTTCAAATGGGACCAGATAACTGAGTCTGCTCAGTGTGTCACATAATTTAGTAAATCTAAAGGCCATTATATGACCTGAGAGACAAGAAGTCACCTCATAGACTATCAGAATAAAAAAACCCATGGAATGGGAATGATGTGATTGCAAAACGCCAACAACGTTATGTGACGTTGCCATACACTGGTTCTGTATATTGATGTCATTTCCTCCATTTGGACTGTAAGCTTCATGAGGTCAGGGACCATTTCTTATCTAAATACTGTATCTCCCCTAGCACATAACATAGTGCTCTGCAGATAGAAGTCACTTCATAAAGGCTGAGTGGTTAAATTGTTGAATGCCAAGGCAGCGTTTTTGCTGCAGGTATAAAATAGAAGACAAAAAATACACACGTAGAATTCCAGAACATCAAAGCCAGAGACCTTGTCCTGTATCCTGCCTGAACCTGTGACTGTGCACACCCCTTTATGAATGTGAAGGACCCCAGAATGAAGGGAGTTAGAGTTAATAGTAAATCTTAGAAAATCCAAAAACAGATTTCACCTGCTTCACAATATTTTCTGGAACATACCCCAAGATGTGACTCTTAAAATCATCTCAAGCATTACTGGCCACCTGTGTGTAATAGGCTAACAAGTTCATTGTGTTTGATGTGTATACATACATGTTTATATACACACATATGTGTATAGACACATATATGTACATATGTGCATGTATATTGTATAATGTATACACACTCATACACACACATACTGTTCACGTCCCAAGCCAACACTTTTATTTGGTTCTAAAGGTTACAGAATGTTTGCTTTTTGTTTATACCACTGAAACTAGCGGTTAGGGGTTGTCTTTCACGGTGGCCTTACAAGTTATATCAACGACAACCTGATGCTTTTTTACCTTAATCATCTTTGCCTAAACAAGACAAGACATAATCTCTGTAAAGTATGATAATTTCCCAGGAGAATACATAATTCACTAATGACAGAGTACCTTCCTAACAACTCAAGTTTTATTTTGAGGAAATACGGATAGACATGCTATTGTGCCTCTGCCACAACCACTTCTCTTCCCCTTTCTCCCCCTCACGACCCACACCTTTCCAGACACAAATACATACCCACACCTACACCCACACCCCCATCCACTCCAGGAGGGAGGAAATAAATGAAGATTTGGGATGTTACCTAATATAGAGCAACTACTTTTTTCTGCTAAATATCGATACTTTAGTCAGGGGTGGGGAACCTGCAGCCTTGAGGCCACATGTGGCCCTCTAGGTCCTCAAGGGCAGCCCTTTGACTGAATCCAAATTTTGAAGGTTCCCCACCCCTGGACTAGGTCGATTTTTTTGCACCTCACTTTTCAAAATTCAATAATATGAAGTAGGAGAAAAGTCAAAAGTAACAAATCTTTTCTTTCATTTAAGAGTGAGATACCATCTGGAAAGAAAAGGAGATTTATAATTCAAGATCCATGTACAAGGAGGTAAGTGTTTAAATCAGTTGAGCTGATTTTTAATCTCTAAAAGTAAAATCCACTACTTATTCAAATTTCACAGAACTGTAATTTCCCCAAAAATGTTATCAAAATAACCTATGATGATAGAAATCCATAAGAATAAAATATATTTGTTTTCTGTGAAACTATCAATATTTCAGTTAATGCTCTATGAGGCTGGTAAATTTTTCATGTATAAAAGCACATGTTTTTAATATAACTATAGTATTTCATTAATCAGGCTTCTAGTCAACTGAGAATGAATGTGTCGACAACTAGTTAATCTGCAGTATATAACACTGTGAGGTTTTTCAAAGTTATTCTGAGAAAGAATGTGTAGTTATCTCAGAAAGTAGCTTATTTGGGATTCAATGATTTTTTAAAACTTTAGTGCATTAGGTCTACTTAGCAAAAACTACTAAATAAATGATCATAAAATATAAGTGCCTATTTTAATGTATACTTATGTTAAATATTTATTAGGTTGGTAGCAATCTTTCTATGGTGCCAGTGCTGATATTTGTTTCAGGTTATAAGCTTTTCTCAGGCATTTCCTGCCATTTTAACTTTGTGGCCAAGCCATCATTCTGTCTAACCAAATAAAATCTAATTGGCATTTATTAAGTGTCTACTCTGTGCCAGGCACTGCGCTGGGTACAAAAAGAAAAGCAAATTAGCTACTTTCTTCAAAGAGCTTACATTCTAGAAGAAGAAAATCACAAAATTTGAGTTATTAAAAAACCTCATTGGCCAGCTGGCCCAGCCCTTATCCCTAAGCAACCTTCACTGTAACATAACCAACAAATGCTCATCCAGCCTTTACATGAAATAAGGAATCCACCTCGTCTTGAGGCAGCCCTAAGGAAATTTTTTCTGGGCGGCAAGCCCAAATTTTCCTCTGTGCCTTCCACACATTGCTTCTCACTCTGCCTCACTGGTCTAAGTTTAAGGCTGCTCCTCCCATGGCTGCTGTGTGTAGTTGTGGGAAGGAGTGAACAGGTTCTTAGGAGGTTTTGCATTAACTGTCTTTACCATGTTATCTGAGACCAAGAGTGGCTGCCCTCTGAGGACCCAGCCTGCCAATTTGAACAAATGCGAGGAAATTCTGGTCTTTTTCTTCCTCATCTTCTTCTTCTCCTTCCTCCTCCTTCTGTGACATGGGTGCAAGGCATTTCATCATCCTACTTCCCTCTCTTCTGGAATGCTCTCCAGCTTATCAATGTCTTTCCCAAACTGTGGCCCCCAGAACTGAATACAATTCTCCAAACATAGTCTGACCATGGCAGGGTATGACAGGACTATCACCTCCTCATTCCGGGAATCTACAGAGTTCTTAGTGTGTAGCTCACGCTCCCCATTATACTTCTACTGATTCACATAAAGTCTGAAGTTCGCTTGATCTTTTTTTCAGACAATTTGCTCTCTTAAAATACCTTCTCCATCTTATACTTAAGAATTTGATTCTTTGAATCAGAGTGTAAGACTGCACATGTATTTCTGTTGAATGTCATCTTATTAGATTAAGCCCAGGGCCCTAGTTTGTCAATACCTTTGTAGATCTTGATTCTGTCACCCACTGTGTTAATTTCCTATCTCAGCTTTCTTTCATCTGCAAAGTGAATAATCCTGCCCTCTATATCTTTATCCAAGTCATTGACAAAAATATTATTCAATTTGTTCAATTGATAAAAATGTTGATCCATTAATAAAAATTTATCCAAGTCATTGATAAAAACATTACACAGTACAGGGCCAAACACAAACACCTAGGACGGTCTACCAGAGACTTCCTGCCAAATTGATATTTGTCTATTAGTCTTTGAGTCTAGCATTCAACCACTTCTGAATTCATCTGTTTAACTGGAGGATACATCATATAGACAGCTAAAGAGGAAAGAGAAAGAACTAACAACCTGGAGGGAACAGGAAAGGCTTCCTGTAAGAGGTAGTGATTAAACTGAGCCTTGCAGGAAGCTAGAAATTATAAAATGCGTAGGTTGAGGAGGGACTGCATTCCAGGTGTGGGGGATGGTCTATGCCATAATACAGATAAAGAGAGATGGAATGTCAGTTTCCAAGAACTACAAGTAAGATAGTTTGGTCAAAACAGAGAAAGTGCATTAAGGGGAACCATGTGCTATTATAAGCTTGAGAAAGGTAGGCTGAAGCCAGATTGTGAAGAACTTTATTTTCTAGCGGAGGAGTCTGTACTGAGCAGGGAAATGAAGTAGTCACTCATCTTACTCACTTGGGTGCCATCTATAAATATATATACATATGAGTGTCTTTATATATGTACATACATACATATATATTTAGAACTTCAGTGTTTACAAAGCTCTTTGTATATACATATTCATTAGCACGATCATGGAAAAAACAGGATGATGCCAAATCCAGCATTCTTTTTACTGGGATCAGCAATCGCTGCTCTCATTGAGTTTACATTCTCCTAGAGGGATAGGACAAATCCAGATATCTCACTCACAAAGAGGAAAACAATTATAATCTCACTCAGCAAAAAATGTGTAAATATAAGACATTTAAGCTTGAAGATTCTGTTCATAGGTAACAGTTTATAGGCTACTTACAGATTTAGGGTTTTTTTTTCCTCTTTTTTTCTGGGTTGCTAAGGCCAGAGAATTCATCTCCAAATGGTGCTGAGTCTCTTTGTGCTCAGCTAGGTTGTCAGTCAGTCAACAAGCAGTATTTATTAAGTGTCTACTATGGACCAGACATTGTTGCAGACGAAAGAAAATTAAAAAAAAATAGACTGGACTGTAAAAGAGCTTATAGTTTAATGGGGAAGATAACATTTAACTATGTACAAACAAGATATAAACAGCATAAATTGAGGGTAGTCTCAGAGGGAAGGCGCTAAGATTAAGGAGGACCAGGATAGGTACCTGGCAGAATGTAGGATATTAGCTGAGACTTGAAGGAAGTCAGGGAAGCCAGGAGGCAAAGATGAACAGGTAGAACACTCCAGTCATGGGAGACAGCCAGTAAAAATGCCTAGAGTCAGGAAATGGAGTGTCTTGTTTGAGGAACAGCCAGGAGGCCAGTGGCATTGGTGGGGGTGCGAGGTATAAGAAGAATGGAAAGGTAGGGAGGACCAGGTTATGAAGGGTTTGTAATCAATACAGAGAATTTTATATTTGATCCTAGAGGCAATAGGAAGCCACTGAAGTGTATGGAATAGCGGTATGACATTGTCAGACCTGCACTTCAGCAAGATCACGTTGACAGCTGAATGGAGGATGGATGGAAGTGGGGAGAGAACTGAGGTGGGGAGACCAACCAGCAAGCTACTGCAATAATAATTCAATTGTGAGGTGATGGTTGTCTGCACAAAGGTGGTCACAGTGCCAGAGGAGAAAAGGAGGCATATATGAGACAGATGTGATAAGGGTAGAAATGATAGAATTTGACAACAGGATGGATATAGTAGGGAAGTGAGAGAGTGAGGAATTGAAGATGACCCTAGCTTACAAGCCTGTATGATTGGGAGGATGGTGATACTCTTGACAGTAACATGAAGGTTAGGAAAAGAGAATTGTTTGGGAAGAAAGAAAATCAGTTTGGAATCAGTTGGGAATGCCGGCCCTCACATGGCAAACAGCCTGTGGCTTGGACTGTATGTGAAGCCCTTCTAGCTTGCAGAAGCTGCCAGTGCCTTTCTTCTGGGGCACAACCTCTGAGAAGCCTAGAATCTTGCAGGGTAGCTTGCACACCAAGATGAGATACAGGCGGTGGACTTCTGCGGATGCCTGTAAGTCACAAGATCTAGAGGTTCAAATAATTGGTTTTATGCTGGCTTCACTAAAAAATGGAATAATACCACCAGATGTGAAACCCATTTACCAAACCCAAGGTCATTAATTCTGACTTTTGTAATAACAACACAACAAGAAATCCTTCAGCAGTCTTATTTTTACAAGATGAAATAATCACTGCATCGTGTTTTTCTAAAATTGGTAAGGAACTGTAATATTAATTTGCTACTAATGGCAAGAATCCCTGTGAACAATTATCCCTTCTGGGAAGGGGGGTGGGGAACAAAACTCAAGTAAATTATCTTTAACACACATTCATTAACTGGAAGCACCTACTTTTACAAGCCTTACTTTCTTTTCATGATAGGGAAGCTCCACATAGCTACTGGGGCTTTGTGGGTAGCCATGGCAGCCACACCCTAAAGGGGATTGTGAGTCAGACAAGGGTGGGCTAGGAGTGTAAATAACTAGGAGCAGCTGTGCAGCTGGTAACATAATTTAAATGAAGGAGCAGATATAGGTTGCACTGGAGAATACAGGACAAAAGTGGAGTAGAGTCACCAAAATCAACACTATAACTAAATGGCCATATTTTAACACATCTTGGCATTAGGATAAAATATCTCTACCCAACTAAGTTAAATACCAGCCATTCAGGGTAACTGGAAGAGAAAGATATTCTCCCCCTTTCACGACTGATCACCAGTACTGTATGGTACAATAAGTTGGAATTAGTGGAGCTTTGTCTGTGTGTCAATACTGCAGAGTATGTTAAATCAATGCTCCTAACACTTTCTGTGATAACCTCAAGATTGACTCCTCTGTTGCATTTTCCATAGGTTTAAAGCTTTTTCTCATTACTTAAAAGAGTGGAAATTTTGCTGGACAGCTCATGAATATGGTTTCCTTTCACTTAATCTTGTTTTTAACAGTCCTAAGCTATGTAACTGAGAACAGAATTGTAAGGGATTTGCAGAAGCATACCACTCTGTGGTGCAATATTTCCCCACTGTGAGGAATTAATGTCAGAGCCAAACTCACAAGTAACTGGTCTCTTCCCTACAACTGATTCACTATTATTTGACATAGTTCTTGAAATGTAAGTTAGAGAAATAAGTTAAGGGATTAGCAGGCAAAGAAGAGACTAAATATTCTCTATTTACAGACAGACAGTATGATGATTTTGTTACAGAACCTTAGAGAATCAATAAC